ACTGACTCTGAAAGTTATATGGAGGCAAGTCCCTGCAAATCCAACGGTTAGGACTCTGCGCTTTCATTGCTGCGGTCAGGGTCTGATCCCTGGTTGGGGAACTAAGATCCCACAAGCTGAGCTTTGGCCAAGTTAAAAAAAAAAAAAGTTTATTTGGAAATGCCAAAAGCCAACAGAATCTTAAAAGAACAAAGCTGGAGGACTTGGCCTACCAGATGCCAAGTCAACAGTTACTATAAAATCATAGAAAACAGAACAGTGTGGTACTGGGGAGAGGACAGAAAACAGATCAATGGAACAAGGAGTCTAGAAGTCAACCCCCATCTATCTGGTCCCCTGATTTATAGCCACAGTGATGATGCTTTAATGCAGTGAGAAAAGGATGACCTTTTCTATTGTAATAAATGGTGCTGGACTGAATACATGGATATCCGTAAAGGAAAAAATGAATCTCAAAGGGCCCTGACAATTTGCGGATACCCAATCAATTTCAGCTGGATGGCAGATCTAAGATAAAAACTACAAGAGTGACGCTTTCAGAAGAAAATACAAAAGACAAGCCCCATGACCATAAGATAAAGTTTCTTAAACTGGACATCAGAGCATTAACCATAAATGTGAAGGCCAACCAAAAGTTCACAAATTGGACCAGTTTAAGAACTTCTGATCACAAAAAGATAGATACTATTAAGAGAGTTTAAAAGGCAAATTACAAAAAGATACTGACAATACGTAAATATCTAACAAAGGACTCGGATCCAGAATACATGAAGAACTGTGACAAATGAAGAAGGTCAATAACCTAACAAGAAAAAAATGGGCAAAGTCTTGAATGACCTTCACAAAAGATACCTCAGTGGCCAGTAAACATGAAAAATCACTGAAATGTGATTAAAACAGGTACCACTACGTGCCCATTAGAATGGCTAAGATTTTATTGTTTTTTCTTTTTAATTAAAAAATTGTTTTTTGCCTGTACTATGCAGCTTGTGGGGTCTTAGTTCGCTGTAGTAGTGATGGTGGTGGCTTAGTTGCTAAGTCGTGTCCAACTCTCTGTGACCCCACGGACTGCAGCCCACCAGGCTCCTCTGTCCATGGGATTCTCCATGCAACAATACTGGAGTGGGCTACCATTTCCTCCTCTAGGGGACCTTCCCGACCCAGGGATCAAACTTGGATCTCCTGCATTGCAGGAGAAACCAGAAACCCCTTAGTTTGCTGACCAGGGATCAAACCCAGGCGCTGATAGTGAAAACAACAGGTCCTAAAATCTGGACCGCCAGGGAATTCCCTGGAAAGGCTAAAATTTTTTAATTGACAAAAGTACTGGTGTTGGTGAGGATGGGCAGCAACTGAACCCCTGCATGCTGGGGGCAGGACTGGAAGCTGGTACTCGCGGGCTGGAAAACTGGCCGTATCTAACAGAGGTACACATAAGCCTTCCCTCTGACCCCATGTCCACGTCCATCACACACCCAACAGAGCTGCGTCCACATGGGAACCGTGTCCACTTATACAGGTGTTCCCTGCAGGACTGCTGGCAACAATGCCCAAGGCTTGAAGCAATCTAAAGGGCCTTCATGACAGAAGTGAATAAATCATGGTTTACTCCCACAGCTGAACGCCATGTAATGATAATAACGAGAGAACTATTACTACACATGACATGGAGAAACCTCAGGAAAAATGGCCAAACGCTACACATCCCGGGACACAGCCGACACTTGTCATGAGAAGTCAGGAGAGTAGGCGACCTGGGGGCGGTGAGACTGGTGGGGGAAGTTTCTCACATGATTATGTCCCTTTTGTGACAAATGATCAAACCATGTGCTTAAGATCTGTGTACTTTTATGTCTGCATGTTATGCATTTCAATAAAGAGCTTATGAAAAATACCACGGAGGCCTTCTAGAACTGACCTTTCCTCGAAGCCCTCCCTGGGCTCCTGAGGTTCCGAAGCCCAATCCAGCCTTGTGGTGAGGGCCGCCCCGAGGCCAGCATGCCTGGGAGATTCACCTGCGGACATGGGGGCTCCTTGGGGATTGCCTGCACCCCGAAGTCCAGGGTCAGGGGGCTGCGGACACGCATCCTGTGTTTGCTGTCAGACACAGCTGCTCCTACTGGCTTAGTTTTTAAAAAAACATCCCAAAGGTCTGGACTCACTATCCCAGGTGGTGAAGGCCTGAAAAGGCCTTAAAAGACCAACTGGAAGGCACTGGGAATCAGTGAGAACTCCTGATCCAGCTGTGGGCTGCAGACAGTCTCCACACCGCTGGCTCCCTGCGGGCCTGGTGGGTGAGGGAGGCACCAAGCTGGGGCTGGAAACACCTGCGTTCACGGGAAGCACAAGAGGGTAGGGACACCACGGAGAGATTTACAGCAGGAGGCCAGCCTCGTGGCCCGGGTGCACCAGCGAGGTGACCTCTCTGAGTCTCAGTTCTCTCACCTTTAAATTCGGATATTAATCACGTCCTAAGAGACAGAAGGCAGCCTGGCAAAGCGGGGAAAACTGGGGGCTGTGGAATCTGTAGATTTGGATTTAAAAAAAAAAAAAAGCTCTGCTTCTTGTAAGTTAGGTGACCTTGGGCACACTCGATCGCTAGCACCTCAGCTTCCTTCTCTGCAAGACAGGGTAATGATGGTATTCTGGAAGGTTCCTGTAAGACTGGAGATGGTATTAATGATGAGGGCTCGTCAAGCACCAGGAGCTGGGCAAAGAGCTCTATGACAGAGTATGTCGGTTAATATTTACAGCCATATGAGGTCAGTTCTATGGTTATCTCCAATTTATAACTGAAGACACAAACTTCAAAAGATTAAGTGAGGGCAAATGTCACAAGACTAATACAGGGTGGGGTGGGGTCAGGACTCAAACCTTCATAACCACCGTCAAGGCCCAGACCCTAAGCACTGCTCTATGACAGTTTCTCCTTACAGTGCACACGTAGGACCCTGGCCACAAGGTATTCAGCGTGATACCATGAGGGACGAGAAGGGGACTGAAATATGTAGGGTGAAAATTTTAGGATTATGAAGAGGGAAATAGAGTTTCAGCACTCTGGCAAAGAGAAACTATTTGAATCTACAAATCTGTGAGTTCTAGGAGTTCTGTTTCAAGTCCATCTAGTGAGCCCAGGGACCCCGTAACGGGAGAATGGCGGCTCCAGGCTCTCTCATGGCACAGCGTCCCTTGGGGGCAGGGGTGGGCACACACCTGCATCTTACAGATGAGCAGACCCAGGGCCCCCTTTAAACTGGGACCTGGGCACTGGTCCTCTTGAGTGCCATACCTTTTCACCAAGAATACTCTGCCATACCAGGAATGTACCTGTCCAGTTGCAGGGGCACAGGTTGGCCTCTGCGCGCCTGCCAGGCCTCCCCGCCCAACTCTGGCCTTCTGCTGGCAAAGCACTTGAAGTCTGGGAACATGGACCCCTTCCTACAGCACAACTTTCTGACCTCTCCGAGAGGGGATGCCTCAGTAGAGACCCCCAGAGCCTGTGTCTCCCGCCTGCTCACCTCTCCCTTCATCGTGAGTGATAAGGCCACCCACCCTGCTGAGCTGAAAGTGTTTCAGGAACCACTTTTTAAAGCACCTTTCCACGTCCTGACTTCTTAGCTTCTTCAACATAAAGGCCAAACTTGCATACCTGTGGCGTCGAGTGCAGTGCTCGGTACACACACTTTGGGACACAAACACTTAAGCAGCTGCCGAGTGGCAGGGCTGGAGTGAGCTGATGGCACAGATGCCACCCACAGGAGCCCCATGAGGGTGGGCTCACTGGGTTTAGGGTTACTGACCTCCAGGGAGGGGAGCGGGCCTGGAGGCTGCATTAATGCCCAACAGTCAATGATTTGATCAATTATGCACACACAACGAAACCTCCACAAAAACCCAAAAGGATGGGGTTTGGAGCGTCCTGGAGCTGCTGACGACATGGAGGGACTGGGCAGGTGGCAGCCCAGAGGGGCAGAGGAGCCCCGCGCCCCTCCCCCACACCCTGCGCTATGCCTCTTCCATCTGGTTGTTTCTGATTTCTTTTATTCTTGCTAAATAACACTAAGCGGGTGATCTAGTGAGAATGATGTCTTCCTGAGTTTTGTGAACCCCTCTGGCGAATTAATCAAACCCAAGCAGGAGTTACAGGAACTTCTGACCCAGGTGGTTGCTGGCACCTGGACTTGTTGATTGCTGTCTGAGGGAGTTGGGGGGCGCTCCTGTGGGGCTGAGCCCATAACCTGGGGGAGCTGATGCTAACTCAGGAGACAGTGTCACACCCAGCTGGGGTCCAGAGAGCTGGAGGACTGCTTGGTCAGAGACACGTTCAGTCTGAGCACTGAGGGTCGGGGAGAAAAAAGCAGCTTTTCCTCATGCTGTCACCACCACCCCTTTTGACCGCAACTAAACGCTAAGCTCCAGGCTCCTCTCTTCATTTAAAAAGAAAAGGGAAATCATCCTCCAATTAAATAAATTTTTAAAAATAAAATAAAAAGAGAAATGAGCAGCTGTTAGGTGATAAGGACATGCTAAGGCAGCATCAAACTGCAAGTCTCTCCTTGTTGACAGTGAAAAGGATGCAAGAGAATCCCAAAAGGACCAGTTCCCTTGCGCCCTGGCCCTGAGGATGGTGCCTCGGTAAGCCCGTGTGTTTTTGAAAGGCACAATTGGGGGCCTGGAGTGAGATGATAACTGGCTGCCTTGTGCTAAGGACCTGGTAGACCCAGAGCATCAGGTTACCTGTCGGCGCGTGGTGACTTCTGCTCTGACTGGTTCCTGTGACGCCTGAATACGAGACAGGCATCAAAGGACCTTGACCAACGTGAGGTGCAACGTAAACAGAAGGGCTTGTGAAGCTAGACCAGAAGCAGAGCCCACCAATCAGGCAAAGCCTAAGATGCTCGAGGGGCCCCTGCCCTCTCAGCCGGCTCGCTCCTGCCTGAGCACCACTGGGAGGAAGGCAGAGACGCGCCCCACGGGGGACCCCGAGCATTGTCACTTACGTGGTCTGAATCTTGGTGAACTCAGGGACTTCTTCTTTTTTCTTCCTGAAGAGGAACCAGTATGTCATGACACCCACGATGAGAGAAAACAGGATCATGTCCGCCGTGCTGAAAAGGGACACTTCTTCAGCCACTGTCTCAGACACGGTGGTGCCGGCATCCATGTTGGAGTCTGCCATGTTCATCAGGAATCTGTCGAGAGAAAGAACAACAGATGTCAGCTGGGGCCGCCTGGGGCCTGCCGGGGAGCTCCCTGAAGACTTTGGTCTGGGCTGCACACCCCAAGGGCTGCAAGCAACAGGCGGAGCCCCGGGGCCGGAGCTGCAGCCTGGGACAAGAACTGAGCAAGCATGCGACCCGCGTGGTGCCTGCTTAGCCCCGGGTGCACCAGGGCACAGGCTGGAACCGCACTGGGATGCCCCGAACCTGGCACGCTCCACAGGTCTTCAGGGACCTGCCCTTGGAGAGCTCCAAGGAAATAACCTCTGAGCCCTTGGAATGTGCTGCCTGATAAGAATGTCTTCGCATACCTGAGACCTTGGGTCACGCAGCCGGTTTATGTTAATGGTGCGGTTTAAGGGAACTCCTGGGGCTCTGAGTCACATCGTACTGCTAGGACCTCTGGGGTGCTGTAGATTCAAGAGGTGAGCTCAGACATGGGGGAGCCCCAGGCCTTTGAGACTGATTCTCAGTAAAAATACTGGATGCCAAGGCTCAAGGGGGCCTCGCCGGCTGGCAGCACTTGAAACATGTGGCCACAGGCGGCTGCCGGCGGAGCACATCGTGTGACTCCCAGGAGAGAGTCCGCCCACGGGCAGAGGACACTGAGAAGCTTCTGTCAGTTCCTGCTAGACTGTCGTCTCGAGTCTTCCTCTGCGGCTTTCAGTCTGTTTCCCTCGGCCACAATCAACTATGACTGGGAGTAAAACAGCTTTGTCAAGTTCTGTGAGTCCTGCTGAATCACCGAGCCAGACGGTGGTATTGGGGGAACCCCCCCATACACACCAATTGACTGACTTCCCAGATGGTGTTCTCGGGGACTCCCCCCACACCAACCTATTTAGTCCCCTGGAAAAGGGCTTGACTGGTCCTTCCACTACTGAAACCTCGCAGGTGTGTACAGGTGAGTCAGCAGAGGCGCAGACACTCACGCGGCGCATTTCTGCCTCTTGTCACCAAGGCCGGGCCGGCTCTGCAATCTCCCTGCGCCCTTCTGCAATCACTGCTCCTAGCCAGTGGCGTGCTCTCAGCACAACCATGGCTCCAGGCTCAGTCAGAAACGCCTGAGTCACAGCTCAGGAGGGCAGTGGGAGATTACTTCACACATGACTTCCATCAGCTGTCACTGCCTCTGGGGAACCACAGCGGGGTGGGGGGGCGGTGCGGGGGGGGGGGTGCCGGGTCAGCTGAGGGCTGGGAGCGGGCCCCTCAGGACGGCCCTCCAGCCTGCTTCTCAGCTTGGTCACTAATCCAAGGCGCTGGTCATAGGGGTTCCCTGAGATCTTTGAGTTCCCAAGATCACCTCAGCTCACCCTTTTCGATATCTGTTGTGAAAAGACAGTCTTAACTCGAGTTCCCAGAAGTCCTGTTTAAAGAACTGACTTATAAACACACTGAATGTTTACTCAGGGTTAGTCACGTCTTTCTACCCACCCTGGCAGTGGTGTCTGGTGCGCCCACGAGACTTCTGCTGTGGAGGGGACCTGGCCTCATGGTTTCGGAGCCCAGCTGGGGGTCCTGTCAGGGCTGACGTGCTGACCCAGGAGAGCCCCCGGCAACGACTGCCAGCTTCCTGTCCCACCGCCTTTCTGACTCAGGCCGCCCGGCCCCCTTACTTTACAGAGGGGGCACTGACACCCACAAAACTAAATGACTGCTTCTTGCCACGCGCGCAAGTCGACCACAGCACTCAGACCTGGGGTCTCCACAGCTCTGACTCTGAGACGTAAAATGTCAGACAGACCAGAGCCGCAGAGGGCGGTGGAAAGGACCCTGAAGACCATCTGATTTCCACCGGAGGGCGAGAGGCTCCAGGGGGGTGAGGTTTGCTCGCCACTCACCCAAGCGAGGGGACAGAGTGGACACATGTCTCTCTGTTCTGTCCCCAGTTCGCGAGAGACAAACAGTCCCCCCGAGACACCTGGGTATCTGGCTTGTGGTGAGAAGGAAGGGCTGGCAGGCTGGCAAGCAGGAAGTCAGGAAAAACCTTCACCTCACGCTTCCCAACTAGGATCAGAGCCACGGGCCTGGGGGCTAAAGCCGAGAACAAACTGTTAAACCACCATCGTCCCACTGAGGTGTACACAAACCCACATGCCCTTCTCTCCAGCCTGCGTCCCTGCCCCCAGGGCCCTGACCAGGGCCTGGGATGCTCTCCTTCTACCTGCTCCCCACTCAGTCCTCAGACCTTGGCTCAACTGTCACTTCTGGGGTGGGGGGATGGGGGTGGTGTTACACTTTCCTGGCACAGTGCTTGGCACATCATCTGCTGCTGCTACCGTTAAGTCGCTTCAGTCGTGTCCAACTGTGCGACCCCATAAATAGCAGCCCACCAGGCTCCACCATCCCTGGGATTCTCCAGGCCAGAATACCGGAGTAGGTTGCCATTTCCTTCTCCAATGCGTGAAAGTGAAGTCGCTCAGTCGTGTCAGACTCCCAGCAACCCCATGGACTGCAGCCCACCAGGCTCCTCCGTCCATGGGATTCTCCAGGCAAGAGTACTGGAGTAGGTTGCCATGGCACATCATCTAGGGCTGGAAAAAACTTCTTATGGAATGAAAAAGGTCAATGAATTCACCAAAACGCACAGGATGTATCAACTGCATGAACCACTGACATGAAGACGGCAGACTGGCAGACTGCTGGGAGCATGCCCATGCAGTGATCCTCCAGGACACAGGTCCCCAGACTTCCTCGGCTGGTTAGGCCCCTGGCATTTGAGTAAATGGTACCCCTAGGCCAACAGACATACTAAAGAGTTCCATTTAGGAGTAGCTGGATCCCAACAACCTCCAAAAACCCAGCTTTGCAAAGACACACAGAGTGTCAAAAGGAATGCAGACGATCTCACACTGGTACTGAGAAACACCCCAAGCTGTGCTCAGGGGCACAGACGTGGAGTCTCTCTGAGAACCTCTGGGCGCCAGCAATGATGCCCCAAGGCACCTCGGCAAGGTCAGGGAATTGAGACCCCGCTGCACAAAATCACTATGCTCTGCATGTGAAACATTCAGGTGGAACAGATCTGACCATGGAAGAGATCTGACCATCCTGCCTGGCAGGTGTTCTCCATTCCAAGTGTGGGGGGCTGACCGTGGACAGACTGACGTCCCCACAGGCCCTCAGGGAGACGCTGGGAGCCCTGTGCGCGCTACCTTTCCATCATTGATTCTTTTGCACTTAGTGGGAAGCAGGAAAACCAAATGGTACAGAACTCATGGGGCCAAAAGCAACATCTGTCAGCAACAGAAGAAAATAAAAAGGCTGTGAGAAAATAGAGGAAGTTCTTAACCAGACCAGGCTCTTTGCCACAGGCCTGTTGCCAGCTAGGCAAATGCCTTATGGGCAGGAAGGAGGCTTTCATGTTCTTACATGTAAAAATTAGACACAGAAAAAAACGGGGTTCATCAAAGACCAGCCAAGTAAGTCTCCCCCACCTCAAACAGAGCAGGTCTGATTCAATCTGTATTAGGTAGGTCTGTACCTAAGTTTTCACTTTTATCATTAAGACAGTGTACATATGGAAACGGGCATAGATAGATAGGTGCTATTCCTCCTTTTGATTGCACCAATGAGCCAGTTCCCACTGATGCTGACGGTCAAAGGCAGCAATGCCAGGGCTTCCCAGGTGGTGCTAGTGGTAAAGAACCCACCTGCCAATGTAAGAGATGTAAGAGATGTGGGTTCGATCCCTGGGTTGGGAAGATCCCCTGGAGTAGGAAATGGCAACCCACTCCAGTATTCTTGCCTGGAGAAACAAATGGACAGATGAGCCTGGAGGGCCACAGTCTGTGGGATCGCAGAGTGTTGGAGGCAACCGAGCAGCAGTCCCCGGGGCAGCCCGACAGCCTGCAGAGCAGGGTAAACAAACTGCTGGCCGCCTAGGGCCAAGGGCGTGGCAAGAGCTTAAGTCAGCTTCTGCAGGGACAAACGTGGCAAAAAGAGAAGGGCTCTTTCTCCATCCAGCTGTTGATAACACCTGATGTCTCAGATTGTCCTCCAGAAAGTGTCGGCAGCTTTGCTGCCACCGTATGTAACTTCTCGTCAGTAACTGATCGACTGAGCTGGCGCTGACATCACAGTGAGTTGGCATGAATGCAGCAACAGGAAGGAAGGAAGGAAGGAAGGAAGGAAGGAAGCCAGCGAGCGGTTTACGCGACCCCTTTACTGTGCACATCACCCAGGCAAGCAGGCAGTGTTACCTCCAGGGAGCCCAGAACCACCCCCTCCACCCACCACCCCCGCTGCAGTGGAAGTAGGGTCTGCTCAGGGTCACAAACCTCTGCCAAGGTTCTTCAAGATAAGAGAAAGAATCCTCAGGGAAACCAAGCCTGCTCTTGCCTAACAGCTAATCCTCCAGAGCCTGAGCGATGATAAGTCAGGTGAAAGGGCCTCCCCAACACAGCCTGCTGAGACCACTGCTCAAAAGAGCAGCTGGAACACACTCCCCTCTGGCTAGAGTGTCCTTTTAAACCCACACAAGGCCGGTGAGGCTTTCTCTGGGTTTATCCTGTCTGCCATTCACTCAGCTTCTTGAATCTGCAGGTCTGGGAACTTTTCAGCTATGTTGTCTCCAAGTTCTTTCTTGGCCCCACCCTCTTTCCCTTCCCCTTCTGGGGCCAAGATGACCTAAGTGTGTTTTGGCGTCCCCAAGTCCCAGAGGCTATGCTCAGTTTTATTACTCTGGCTTCTCTCAGACTGGGTAATTTCCACTCTTCTAAGTTCACTGGTGGTTTCCTCTGCCAGTTCCGCTATGGTGCCATCCATGGATTTTTGGTCTTTTCTTTTTGCTATGGTAGTTTTCAGTTCTAAGCTGTCTGTCTGGCTCTTCTTTATCTTTTGTATGACTGTTTTTTCTCATTCAACTTGAGATTTTTCCTAGTTCTTAGGATGGTGAGTGATTTTTTTTTAAATTGGATCCTGAGCATTTTGGGTATTATAACACTCTAAATCTCATTTA